CCCCCGCCACGTGCCCCCTCCCCACGCCCCGCACCCGCAACCTTGCCAAAGAGCCGCGTTTACTTTCGACTGGGAATTCCCAATTTCGAGAAGTCAAATATGTTCCGAGAATTTTTTATTTTTTTTATTGATTAGTTGTTCCGGGAATGACTAATGCGGCGGGCATTAGTCCAGTAAGTGTAGGGCACGTTTCTATCGCGGAAGGTAGCGATGATTATTCCCCGCCCGGCTCGCTGTCCCACACCTCCTCACAAACACGTCAAAGTTTCCTTTCGATTGGGTAATCTCAATTCCAAGAAGTCAAATATGTTCTGAAAACTTTTTATAAATTGATTGATTGGCGTCAATTGCTAAGATCGTTAGTCTCGTAAGTGTGGTGCACGTTTCTATCGCGGGAGGAAGCGGTGATTATTCCCCGCCCGGCTCGCTGTCCCGCACCCCTTCACAACCATGCCAATGAGCCACGTTTCCTTTCGATTGGGAATTCTTAATTTCGAGGAGTAAAATATGGTTCGACAAGCTTTTATGAATTGATTGGTTGATAGATAAATGATTCGGGCTCGTCAGCTGTTAATGTTGATAGTCGCGTAAGTATTTTTGTAAATTTGAAATGTAAATTTCAAAACTGTTTTAAATACTCATTAACACAATTTTTCATAATAATAATTACATTAGTAAAATAATTCCTCGAATACATTATAGTATATTTACCACAAGTTGTGGTGAATACCTTTATAATTTATTAATTTTTGTAGGAAGGGATTCGTTTCGCTTTTGAATCAGCCACAGCTGTGGTGTCACTTGCTTCAGTTGCCGTATCATACTGTGCTCGGGAAGTCCGCGTTCCAGTTGTTTTGTCGCCTGTGTTTAGTTGTGTTTTGTTAGGGCATAGTGTAAACAACGGCGTCATAGCGATAAAATCCAGTAACATGTCGTCGCCTGTGACGCTGTGGCATGTCGTTCGCACGGCCGCCGCTAGATATCGGCCCTAAAAAACAAAGACATGTTTATAGGAAATTCTTAGAATCTTCTGGACAGATTCGCAAACAAATCATTACTGGTAGACCGAGTCTTGTCTAATACTCCTCATTTATCTCGATTGGTTGAAGGGAAGGGGTCAAAGGGGTCAAACCGTGAGCGGTGGGCGGACGGGAGGAAATACGCAATTTTCTCAAATACTGTTTTGGGATTACCAAGTGTTTTATGTGTACTACCCACTTAATCCATTAAATCTGTTTAAAATGCATTTTTGTTGTAAATTATTACCTCGGTATGCAGAGCGTGACAATGAACGCTGAAAGTGAATCAAGTATTATGGAAACAAAATTCCTGGAATTATCAAATAATATTTGGCATTTTATCAAGGTAAGCTAATGTGCAGTGCTTTAGAGAGCTACATAGGTAAATAATAGACACCTGCAGTTTCTATACTTCGTCAACGGTTTCTACCCCTAAGTGTTTGCCATTTTCGATTTCCATATTTTTCGGTCCTCCCATTGACTTTCTTCGAGTCCTTTCTCCTTTATTACTTCCCGTATATAGGCCTTCCAGGTCAAAACAGTTCTGCCTCATCTATGCCTTCTTTCAGATACGCAATTTAAAATTTGTTTTGACTATCTCCATTGGAGAGCTTCTTTTTCTAGTCTTCTGGTTATTGTTGTTTGAATTCAGCTCTTTTCCAGACCACTTCGTACCTTGTATTGTCAGCCTTGTTACCTGCAAAGGTCTTATCATAAAGTCGAACTCTACTGACCGTATTCTGGCTCTACGGCATTTTGTTAAAGGCCACATATCTGCTCTCTATATATTTCCACTACCCTGTGGAATATTCTTCTCTTTGTGTCGAGTCTTAATATACTATTCCGTATAAGGCCATGTACAGCTTTGATTGCATATCTGACCATTGCAAGTCTAGTGGTGATTTCTTCATCAATTTTTCAATCGTCAGTAATTATAATCCCCAGATATTTAAATTTTGAACACTAGGCTATTACGCCATCAGTAACTTCAATATTAGTTACATCTCCTCCGATGCATAAATCCCCATTTTTTGTATTCTTCTTTTCATTTACTAAACATAAACTTCGTATCTTCCCGATCTGATGCCATAATGACCTGATCTGCAAAAAGTAGATAATGTAAGCAAACTATGAGAACTCCCATTTGAGACCATTTCTTTTACCAATTTTTCAAAACATGTTCCATGTATATATTTAAGAGAAGTGGCAATAAACTACATCCTTGTTTTAACCCTTTGTTAGTTTTAATACTTTGTGTACTTTTCTCCCTATTTTGATACACGCTTCAGTTTTCTGGTATATTTTTTTAAACCAAATTAATCCATTTTTCTAGACAATTCAGTCTTCTCTTTGGAAACCAAATATTACATCTAGGAACACTATCATAGGCATTTTCCAGGTCAATAAATGTCATGTATGTCAATATTGTAAACTACCTGAATGTGGCGTCACCGACACTTTAAACATTGCCTTTTGTTTTCTTTCTTTGGTTCAGAGCTTTATTTAGTTTAGATGGTTCAATTCAATTCAATTCAATTTGCCAGCGTTTCGAACTAACCACTTAAATTTTGCAATTATTTTGTGATATTGAGCACGATTTCTACCATTGGCTTTCCAGAACTTAAGTAATACAGGTGCGCCAGAGAAACTTACTTATTTGAAAAAATTCCCGCGCGGTGAGTTGGGCGGTTAGAGGGGCCAGATCTGGAGGGATGGGATGTTCCAAGTTTTTTTCTCCTCCAGTCAGTTG